GGTGAGTTTCATATGAAATAACTCATCAAATATTTGCTATATGGAAAAATATTTCCAACAAAATTTGAACGGTTTTAAGGGTAGTATACAATGCAATAATCTGTTTTTTTATCATAACACGAAAATCATAACTTAACTGCATCTATAATCTTCGTTAAATATTATTAATCTTCGAGAATGGAGGATGAGTTTCATATGAGATAACTCATCAAATATTTGCTGTATGGAAAAATGTTTCCAACAAAAGTTGCATGTTTTTAAGGTTAGTATACAGCCCATAATCAATTTTTTACCATAAGACATAACTACACCTATAATATTTATTAAATATATCACTACTCTTCACGAACACAGGGTGAGTTTCATATAAAATAACTCATCAAATATTTGCTCTATGGAAAAATATTTCCAACAAAATTTGCACGGTTTTAAGGGTAGTAAACAATGCAATAATTAGTTTTTTTATCGTAATACGAAAATCATAACTTAACTGCATGTATAATCTGCATTGTATATTTTTAATCTTCGAGAATGGAGGATGAGTTTTATATGAAATAACTCATCAAATATTTGCTTTATTGAAAAATGTTTCCAACAAAAATTGCGTGGCTTTAAGGGTAGCATACAACATAGTAATTAGTTTTTATCATAATACAAAAATTATAAGACATAACTACTTCTACAATCTTCATTAAATATTTTTAATGTTCGAGAATGAAGGGTATGTTTCCAAGTAATTTTCCAAGAAAAATTGCACGATTTTAAGGGCAGCATACGACGCAATAATAAGTTTATTCATCATAATAAGAAAATCATGAATTTCGACGCCATTTTTGGAAAGAGTAAAGCGACCCTTTTCTCAAATTATCGAACATTATCGCGATCGCGTTGGTGCTCTTTGAATATTAATTTCGAAGACATAAGGGGACGATAAAAGAAGAAAACAAGTGTTTGGTCGACGCAGGTAAAGTGTCGCGCCATAAATAATTCGCTTTATAGGGCCGTTGAGTCGTGCATCCGCGCTGGCTGGCTAGAAACTGCATCTTCTGTCCGCCATGTTGTTCCGCGCGATAAATATCACCATGGCAGGACAGAGGTTAAATTTTCATCGCGGGTCAGCCGATATTGTTATGTCGAAACGGAGGAAAGGCGAAAAGAGAATAAACATCCGCCTCGAATCCGAAGATTTCTCTTATTATTCGCGTTTAATCCTCCTCTATTCATAGCAATGCAATTTCATAACCATTGTCTCGACATTATTCAACGACAGAGAGCCTTTCTACTTCATATTAATCCCTATTGTTTACACAAAAGTGCACAGTACCGTGGAAATAAAAAATTAATACCTTCGCCATTCGATTCGAATTTTATTCAAATTAAATGTGTTTAATTTGAATAAAATATTCTAAACAATTTGTCTGTGTTAGAACAAAATGGTCACTCGTATTTTTACCTTTCCTATTATTCTAGACACACCAGATTTATAATTTATAATTATAATTATTCAAAAATAAATTGTGAAACTAATGCAACCCTCGTCGTACTAAAGAGGCTATTGCAAATCACGTAACACTAATAGATCATGAACTATAAAGAAAAATAAAATAACAAATACCTTTGTTCCATTGTGTTCAAATTTCATTTAACGCGATATTTGAAAAATATTCAAAAATTGAGAAAGAAAGAAGACGCGAAGTGGCTGAACGGTCGGAATGGTAGAAAATTTGCCTTCGACAGGAATTTTACGTTCCTTCATAAACGAACTTCGATCGTAAAAAGGATACGAATACATATTTTTCGTTTGTGTAACATATTTTTACGCCGATTCGATATTACATACGAACAAATTTCGCCACGGTTGAAGGAGCAAATACGGGGAATTTGTATCGGTTTATGTACTCTGCCTTATTGATCAAGTTTGTGCGACTTTCAAGGGACGGGAAAGAATTTATGTTTATTTAACAAGGATATTCGTCACGCGCAGGAAATTTATCTTTTAAACAAATAAACGATAAATTCGAACGTTCTGAAACGCCTTATAACGAATAATTTTCAACGTTCAAAGCATCCAAACCGTGAGATATAATTTCAGAATTCGAGTTGCAATATTTGAAGAAATATTATATATTAAAATTACTCTTCTCGAGAATTCCTAGTATATTCGTAAAATGATCACTCGCGTATCTCGAATCGAGTTCGAAGTTCATTATCATCGCGTTCGATCGCGAACGTACCATCGATATTTACAAACGATGCCACCGCGAGTAAGCGTCAACGCGTGATATTGCAATAAACCGGGTGACCGTCACGATTTACAGTTTACGTCATATTAAACTGACGCTGAAAATAATCAGCCGCGGAAAATGTCCGTCCGGAATTCATGGCGAGCTTTATAGCTCGTATTTCTTCCCGTTTTGCCTCGCCTGGCTGCACACGGCTCCCATAAATACGTTTTTACAAATACGACTTCTGATATCCATATTTCTCGCGGCCTTTGATTCGTCGCGATAACGCTATTAAAATTTATATTACATTTTTCGTGCACGATGGGTGGCCGGATTATTAGCTCCACGCGATGAAAGCACGTTTCGATGATAAATCGGACGCTCTCGACGGTGGGAGGGGATCAAAATTATGTTGAGAGACAAAATATGTTTGTTGGAACGTTTGCATCTTTGAAATTGTTAACATTCTTTCTTGATTCTGTTCCTTATCTTTAAAGGAAGTGGAGATATTGTAGATGTTCACGTTAGAGATCTTCAAACGTGTTCAAACATCTTGGGTGATACTAATTTTTTAAAAATTTGGAGATATTATAGATGCTCACGTTAAAGATCTTCAAACATGTTCAAACAGCTTGTATGATCCTCATTTTTTAAAAATTTTGAGATATTATTGATGTTCACATTGAATATCCTCAAACATTTTCAAACATCTTCGTCAAACATCATGTATCATCTCCATTTTTAAAAGAATCTGAAGATATTATAGATGTTGAAACATATTCAAACATGTTTAAACATCTTGTGTGATACTCATTTTTAAAAGATTTGGAGATATTATTGATGTTCACATTGAAGATCTTCAAACATTTTTAAACATTATATATCATCTCCATTTTTAAAAGAATCTAAAGATATTATAGATGTTGAAACATATTTAAATATATTTCAAACGTCTTGTATGTTTTGCATTTTTTTTAAATTTGGAGATATTATAGATGTACACGTTGAACATTTCCAAAGATCTTCGTCAAAACATCTTGTATGATCTCTATTTGTACAGGATTCTGGAGATATTATAAATGTTTACGGTGAAGATCTTCAAACATGTTCAAACAGCTTGTATGATCCTCATTTTTTAAAAATTTGGAAATATCATTTATGTTCACATTGAAGATCTTGAAACATTTTCAAACATCTTCGTCAAACATCATGTATCATCTCCATTTTTAAAAGAATCTGGAGATATTATAGATCTTCAAACATGTTCAAACATGATGTATGTTCTGCATTTTTTTTAAATTTGGAGATATTATAGATGTTCACGTCGAAGACCTCCAAACATCTTCAAATATCTTTGTCAAACATCATGTATCATCTCCATTTTTAACACGTTCACTGCCAGATCAAAACCGAATAATATAATGCAAAAGTAAAACTTTGATTTTGGGCCATTGTAAGCTACATAACCTAAAATTTTGTTCAATATTTATATTTGTAACCTTGTTAAAATTCATAAATTTTATTTAAATTTATTTTTCTCATCGTCTTAACTTGAGAATTAATTTTTCTAGTATTATAATGGTAAATCCTGTCACCCATATATGGGTGACGCGACAGTGAAAGTGTTAAAAGAATCTGAAGATATTATAGATATTGAAACATATTCAAATATGTTCAAACATCTTATATGTTTTGCATTTTTCTTTAAATTTGGAAATATTATAGATGTACACGTTGAACATTTCCAAAGATCTTCGTCAAAACATCTTGTATGATCTCTATTTGTACAGGATTTTGGAGATATTATAAATGTTCACGGTGAAGATCTTCAAACATCTTCAAACATGTTCGAACAGCTTGTATGATCCCCATTCCTTACAAATCTGGAGATATTATTGATGTTCACGTTAAAGATCTTCATACATCATGTATCATCTCCATTTTTAAAAGAATCTAATGATATTATAGATGTTGAAACATAGTCAAACATGTTCAAACATGTTGTATGTTTTGCATTTCTTTTAAATTTAGAGATATTGTAGATGTACACGTTGAACATCTGCCATCCCCATATTTAAAAAAAAATCTGGACTTAAGACAGTTTGGAAGTATATTTTTCAACTTTCTCTGCCTCGTGTGTTAAAATTTTAATCACCCGCACGTAAATATAGAAAGTAGTGACTCCATTGCTAAAAAACGGGGTAGAAATTGTTGCTTAAAATCGGGGATTATTGCACTTTTCATGTCCAACTGACACAATTAAATTATAAATTCCTCTTTACCATGAAAATTAATTTTTTTGAACTCCTTGTAAGGATAAGTTATTACATTTTTTAATTTTCCTCTATTATCACTTAAATTTTTTCGAAATCATGCTTCTCACTTATGTGAACGGTAACGATGGTCAATAACAGTAGAAAGTATATACTTTAAATGAGTATTATATTACTGATATTGATAACAGACTGCAAAATGGTTGACAAGTAGATGAAAAGTAGAAAGTATATAATTTAAATGTGTATTATATTACCAATATCAATAACAGACTGCAAAATAGATAAAAAATGAAAAACCCAACGTTTACGCCACAATTTCGAAAACATCCGGCGCAAAGAAGGTTCGCGTCGATCCTTCACCGTTCTATTATACGCGTTTCAGGATTCCCGTTCATCGATGGTATCACGCGTCCTCGTTGTTCCACCGATCAATGGAATTCTCATGTCGCGATCCCTCTCCCCCGGTTTTTTCCCTGTCCAGAAACAAATGGTCAATTTTATCGAGAAGTTTTATCTCCGCGTGATATACGAGACCCGTCCCCGTTGCCCCCACCACCCCCCTTTTCTTCCTTTTCATCCCTGATATCCCTACTTCAATCTCGTGCCTTGGATATCGAAATGGGCGTACATCGAAGGATCTGCGATATAAGGTCCATTACGGCGACCCGAATGGAAACATCGACGGGGCTATCTGTAGATTTACGTTAAGGCGAGCAGGGAAATCGACGTCACCAATCCCGATAGATTCTTTCAGGATTTCTGTCTTTCAAGCTGGACAGCGCCTCTCGACGTCTCCGGCGGATCTTTTTAAATTAATCTGAGTGGCCCCCGTGGGACAGTTTTTGGCTCCTCGAGTCTCTCTTCATCGAATTTTCAGAATAAACAAACCCACGAAATTAGTTCATTTTTCGAATAATTTTTTTTTTTTTTATACAGATTATTTTGAAAATTTATCCAATGATGCTTGTTTATAATAAAAATACCCCCACAGAATTGGTTCATTTTTCGAATAAAATTATTTCCCTTTTTATACAGATTATTTAGAGAATTTATCCAATGGTACTTGTTTATAATAAAAATAAACCCACGGAATTGGTTCACTTTTCGAGTAATTTTTATTTTTTTTTATACAGATTATTTAGAGAATTTATCCAATGATACTTGTTTATAAAAAAAATACCCCCACAGAATTGGTTCATTTTTCGAATAAAATTATTTCCCTTCTTATACAGATTATTTAGAGAATTTATCCAATGATACTTGTTTATAGCGATGTTTTAAAAATATACACGAAATTGCTCCCATTCTGTATTACGTTATTAAATTTCATTTTTCCACGCTTTCAGATACGATTCGATACGTTCGAACTGATACGACGAAAAATAATTATTGCGAAGAATTTTTATGGTAAAAATTATGAAGTAGCTTACGTTAAGATACATTATGAATTTTTCACTTTTGTAAATAATAAATTTCGACATTCGAGCAAACGTTGATCGAACAATATATTAATAATATATTAACAGTTAACCTCATCGCGCCTGTCAAGCAAAAATATGCAATTCAACGAGTTAATTCTTAATCCATAAATACATAATTGTTCCTATTCCATAGTAAACGTTTAAAGTTATTATTGCCTTAACTCCTTTAATAATTCGTATATTACATAGACTATAAAAAACTGTACTTCGTTATATCACATTTTTTGATATGTATGCGTTACACCATTACGACCTAATTCTTACGCGAAAGCAGACGCTGGGGCGAGCATTTCTCAAATGCAAAGAATCTTTAAGTATCGGGGAATCCCTTATTATGAATCCTTAACACGACGATATGTAAATTCGCGATAATTTTTGAACCATATCGAAGCAAAAATCCTTCGACGATCTTTAATTTATTATAATACTTTCTCGTTTCGTACTTTCAATGATAGTTATCCTGCTTATGGTACCACGTAGCGAATATCGATCAAACATAATTGAGGCTTCGACTGCTTCGTTCCAACCTGTCTTTGAGGACTCCAAGTATTAAGTAACATGTAAAGAAAGTAGCATTCGCGAGTATAATGTATCTGAGAGGACCTAAACGTACATAAACATACGTTTAATAAAATATAATAGAATAAACTTGACTTTTATACTTATGGGGGATCACATATTTATACAAAAAATAGTTAACAAATTTGTATTGCCTCGTAACCACTTCATGATTTAGCAATAATAGTAGAAAAAGAAATTTGGAGTCTACTTGTCAGATTCTGTCTCAATTTATGTATTAATACTCTAATTATTTAAACAGTTTTATTTACAGAAAGTGCTGTAACATGAATAATAAATATATTTTCTTCAGACTCAATAGGTAATTGCACGTGAATGCTACTTTCTCAACTCACTCTCCAACACTGTTTCTACCTCAATTTCATTCAAACCTATCTCGACCAAAGGTGCCTTAAAAAGAATAAATTAATTTTACACTAGCTTAACCGGGTCTTCAGATTCCATATTTGAAGTTACAGAGCTCACAAATATCACTTGCTAGCAATTTACATCGAATTTGATTGATATAACGAATCCACATTCCAATTAAACAAAAGACTGTTTTTTTAAATGAAATCGTTAATAAAAATATGTGCATCCGTAAATCTAGAGTTAAGAACACTCGTAGGAAAAGTATGGTAAAAACGATTAAGCTTGAAAAATAATACCAACCGTAGTTTTCAACGTCTCCATTCGACACTTCCGGTAGAAACAGCGTCGAACCCGAGAGTGGTACACGCTTGGAACGTTCACCCATCATCGTCCTAATTTGTACGGCGAATCGATCGTAAATAAAAGATGTCGTCCTTTCGTGGAGCGCGCGAAACGGAACGCTACCGATTGGTCGACCGGGAGCGACGAAATCAAAGAGCACGGGTCGCGCGGGAGCCCTCTTTGTCCGCCCCTGAGACCCGATCCCCGCGGATGGGCTCTCCTCCTATACACAATAAGCTTAACGACTCGATATAACAACTTCCAATGTGGATTATAAAAATATTAAATCTTCTGTAATATGAACTAGTTAACCTATATGATATGTAAACTCACGGACCAATGTGATCCATGGCGACGGAGGATCCACGACACGGACCGTCCCGATCCCCGATACAGAGAAACGGTCGTCTTCTCGCGTTTCTCGCGAACGGTTTCGTATTCGACGAACCCTCTCGTCTCTATTTTATTTTGGCCGGCGTTACTGTTACTTCGTGTGAATCGTGTGGTCTCTCTGTGTGTGTTTGCGTGTAGTGTGTGTGTGTGTGTGTCTGTTTACGCGCGTCCGTGCTATACACGGTGCAACGGAGACTGGCAGAAAATGTAAACAGAGGGCCCTAACACGACTACAAACTATATTGCATCAAATAATACGGTTGAAGATTGGGAAAAATGAGTTGAACGTGTTGTTCAAATCATCAACTGAATCATTTAGAATTAATTTAAATTCTAACAGTTCAAACACACAATTAACGTAAAAGCTACCAATTGTAATAAATAGATAAATTAAATGTTGAAATATAGTTCTCCTTAATTTGTATCTTCACTCCTCGTTTACATTATCATGTAACAATACTAACACGTTGACTGCCAGACCAAAACTGTACGACTTTTTCTGTGATCGAGAAACAAAGATAAACTATACAAATTAAAATTTCTCTCAGTAATCATTCTCGTAACCATATTAAAATTCATGAATTCTATTCAAATTTATTTTCTTTAACATTTCAGCTTTTTAAAGATTCCAAATGTAAAATACCCATATATGGATGACGTCAAAGTGTTAATATCGAGGATGAGAATTTATCGTTCAAAATATTAGCTTCATCCCTATCATTTTATTACGGTTTCGGCCCTGGCGCAGCTGTTTATCTTTCCAGCCAGTCCTCGTTGCACCTGGTTATAGTTACCTCTCGTCTGCACCACGCGCGTGCACCCACGGAACAAGACGCGCGCTGTCTTGCGCGCAGCCACGTGGAGGAACGTGGGTAACGGCGTCGATGGATCATTCTCCCGAGCGGAGATCGATCGACCTAAATACCCGCCGCCGCGCCGATGTGTGCTCGAAATCGTGAATCGCCCGACAGACGTCCGCCCCATCCGAGTAACGACCCTCTCCCGACCGGCGTTTACAGCATCGACGGGACGCTCCTGCGGGATACCAGCGACCGTGGGATATCGAAGATCGTACCCGTCGAAGCTCCTTCACCGTCCACGATATTTCTAACGGCGATTCGGATCGATTCTGCACGCTGCGCTGATCCTCCGCTCTCTACGGCATCGGGTAAACTCGTTACCCCCACCCGGAGGAACGTTTGAGCGATTCTGCGCGCGCTGTTAATCCCCCCCGCTCCCCGGGGCTAATGAGTCGCCCCTGACGGGGGTGGTCTTGGTCTACGACTTTTCGAAAAATCGATCTTTCGCTGGCTCGTTTGAGTTTTACATTTGGGTCATCTGTTAAGCAGCTTGATCATTGAATTTTTTTTTTTAAATTGGTATTATGAAATCTGATGGGACTTGATGGAATAGTATAGTTTGTGTTAAAATTTAAGATCGGTAATTGGTTTGGAAATTGATGTTCTGGTGTTGCATCTTCTTTGAGTTTTTGGTAGGTACACTTGAAAAATAGTTGATCATTACTAGACTGCGGATCTTCATGCAAATTCATATTTTTATTAATAAAATTAATGAAATTGGAGCTTTGTAGAGGGTTGTCTCAACCCCTAGATATAATAATTTGTACCTTACTTTAAGTATTTCTTATATTCTTGCATATGAACTAAATTCTGTAGTTTTTTGAAAATTAAAATTTCCCATAAATGCATAAACATCCGCAGTCTAATCATTACCTTTTAGGTATATTATTGGGTATATACCTTTTAGGTAAGTTATACTTGAGGGAACAATATAATTTGTGTTAAAATTTAAGATCAGTAATAGGTTTGGAAAATTGATGTTCTGGTGTTGCATTTTCTTTGAGTTTTAGGTAGGTACAAGTGAAAAATAATTGATCATTACCTAGTTATACTTGAGAGAGCAATATAATTTGTGTTAAAATTCAGAATCACCTCTATTTTTTAAAAAATTGCTATTTTTTGTTGCAACCTCTTTGAGTTTTAGGTAGGGTCACTTCAATAGTAGTTGTCTACTACCTAGTTATTAATCATATTTTATAAATTGCAATGGCAAAGAATATAATTTGTGTCCCAATTCGAAATCACTCTAAATTTGTGAAAAAAACTAGATATATTGTTGCATTTCCTTAAATTTTAGCCTGATGAGTAGTTATTCATCAGTTTTTTATAAATTGCAATGACAAAATCCAATGAGACTGGATGCAATATAGTGGATAGTATAATTTGTTCAAATTCAGGAGCACTAGTATTTTTGAAAGAATTAAAGAAGTGAATCACTATCTAGATGATGATTATCCTTTTCAAATTGTACTTGGAACAAAATACGACGAAACTTAATGTAATATAATGAAGAATATCATTTATATTCAAATTATAAACACTTCTTATTGGATCACAACAGAATTTCTGAGAACATTATTGCATTTCCTTGAGTTTTAGGTAAATATACTTCAAAAATATTTGATCATTACCTACTTGAGGGAGCAATATAATTTGTATTAAAATTCAGAATCACCTCTATTTTTGAAAAAATTGCTATTTTTCGTTGCAGCCTCTTTGAGTTTACATGCTCAGTATCTGATCACCTAGTTATTCAGTAATTTTTTTTAAATTACAATTATAAAGTCCCATGGCACCTAATAGAACATCGTGAACAATATAATTTGTGTTATACTTCAAGATCACCTTTACTTTAAAAAAAATGAATGCTTTGGTATTGCATCCCTTTTCAGTTTTAGATAGAATCAGTTAACAGGGTAGTTAATCACTATCTAAATGATGATTCTTCTCTTTAAATTGTACCAAAAACAAACTTAAAAAATGAAAAAAACTAGGCATATTGTAGCACTTCTAAGTTTTAGCCCAGGATCACTATGCACCATTTTTAAAAAATTGCAGTCCTGACAGACCCAAAGAGACCAGACCACCCCCTCAAATGAAGTCGAATCAACGCTAAAAACTATTCTCGCCGATTTCCCCGGAATCATCAGTTTCAGATCGAATGAGAAATAGAAATGGAAGATGCGGATGACAAACTTTATATTCTTGTCCTATAACGCGTTAATCGAGAAAATGAGAATGTGTAGCTGTTGCCAGGACAGCGTTACGCGATCCTGACCGACGCGCGAATATTGTGTGCGCATGTCATTTAGGAAGTAACCGGATTATTCTCGATTTTTAAACCATCTGTCATCGAGCGGGATAAGCTGTCTCAAGTGGAAATGTTGTGATTCTCGAACGTGCGTATCGTCGGTGATCGCGCAACGCGTCCGACATAATTATGAGGCGATTTCTTCCCTGAGATTGGCTCGATTCCGCGTGGCGGATGCCCCGCCATCGCTGTACGAAACTTCGACGCGATTCTGCTCGCTACGACGAGAATATACTATTCAATTTTCGTCTAAACGTGGAAAATAACAATTTGGAGATTAATTAAAAAATTTAAAACCCTCTTGGCTCGCGTTTATCGTCGATCGACCGCTCGATGAATTCCTAAAATCTCCCCGTTCGAATTTATACCATAAAACGTTTGATTAAATTTTAATCAACGGGTTCGCTGAAATGTTAAGCGCGCCCGTTACACGCTTGTCGGATTACATTGTCGAAATTGCTGAACGGGCTAAGTGCCAAATTATCCCGTTTCAATGCATACGATCGCGGGGGCAATCATTATCAATCTCCGCACGTCACGTTCCGAGGATGAAAATCTTTTTTCGCCGCGAGAAATCGGTCTCGGCGGCGCATTGAAAAAGCAATTCGAAGCAATTAGCACGCAAGGACGAGCGACTGAAACGCGAACGCAAGAGGGGACTCAGGATCTCTGCTAATAATGAAGAGTTCCGGGCAGAGCATGTATCCATTAAATTGCATGCACTCGATTTAATGGCTTCGCTCGTTGCCACTGGGCTCTCCAACGACCACTCCAGGTTCGCGTGCTCGAGTGCCCTTCCTACAATCCTCGCAGGATTGTTGCACTTTTAAGGAATCCTCATCGCACCTTTCCATTTTCTAACCACCCCATCATCATCCTCGCTCTTTTGCATTTTATCAACAGAGTTCCAGCGTTCACCCTCGTTTGGTACCGTTGGGTCATGCATCTGCTTCAATTACTTTTGTTTTCGGTTGATATTCTCTCTAATTGTCATTTCACTATATAATAGAGGCTAATGGAAATTATATGATCGATTAAGTGAAACACTTTTTGTGAAAACAGCCTCGCCTCAAAGTCAGTCGAGGAGTGTACATATAGGAATCGGTGGTCGGTCGTAATTGCGAGAAAGGTTGCCCTCTGGCGGCGAGCGCAAGAGGTGTCTCCATAGTTTTCTATATACGACCCAACGATACCAGTGAGGCGTACGATTTAAACTCGTGTGAACTCAAGAAATGGAAATACGATTCCGGTTTTGCAAATGGTGGTATCAAAAAGATGATTCCGTTCAACCGTGAGAAACCGTTTCTTCCGATATTCGAGCACACGCACGGCGCGCCAGGCCCGACGCCATCGAGCCGCTACCCCATTTTGATCTTACAGCTAATCAGTAAAATATAAAAGGTACTCATCCTGATCAGCCTTAATTCTCTCCACGATGAGGTGTGCCAGTTACTATCGAAGCATTCCGTTCCGTAAGGATCTTCCGACGATCGTCGAAACGACGAACGCACCGGCAACGACGCGCTTCCGAGCGACGCGGCTGCAGACACGACGCGATCTTCTCCGCTCGAATCTTCGTTCCGACGATTCCCGCCATGTTCTCCACCGCCGTTTGCATTTTCTTCACCGTCGAGTTCTTCGATGCCGTTCTCTTCGGTGTTCCTCGATTTAACGAATCCCCCGATACCTCCGAGTTTCCCGCTATTGCTAGCCTCACTTGGATCCTGCTCGAGCGCCAGAACCTCGTTCGCGTTGATTTTGTTGGGAGAACAGCGGACCAGCCGTGTTCTCGAACGGATTCTCGCCTCGACGATCCATCGTGACTGCGCGCAAAACCGTTATCGGCGGCGACAGCGATCGAACCGGTGCCTCTACGACGGTTATTCCTCGGGCCAGCCGAGATCCTCGCCGACGAGCTCGTAGAATCGTTGGTTGTGCTCGTTGAAGAACCTCCTAAGCTTGGTGACCACCACGGGGCTGACTCTCGGATGTCGCCTGCCCTTGCTCTCCTTCAGACACTTCTCAGAAGTCTCGTTACGCAAACAGTAGAACCCCTTCGTGTGGTTGAAGTAGAAGTTGTGTCTGCCGATTCGCGAATCCAGACCGAGGAAGCTCTCGATCCTCCGCAACTGCGGCACAGGATCCTCGATCAGCTGGTCGCCGTTCACCACGAGGATCTGCTCCCTGGAGAACACCTCCAGCCATCTGTGCATGTACGTGTGATAGAGAGAGATCGCGACGGGTCTGTAGGACTCGTTGATGGTGCCGTCCGGTCGTATCACCAGCTCCTCGAAGCTACGGGCTGCTTGCTGTTGCTGCAGCTGCTGGACACTCCGGGGCGTCCCGTTCGTCACGGTGGACGCGGTCGCGGCGTGCGTTCGCAGCTGAGTGTAATCCGATATCGCTCTGGTTACGGGCTCGCGCACTATCAGCAGCAATTTCACGCTCGCGTTCATTGCACGGATCCTCTCGGGCACCTGGAAAGCGTCAGAAATTCTTATACCAGTTCCTTCAGTTTCGAGGATAATTATTGACATTGTTTGGCGACGCTTAATGGTGCAAGGCGAGACCTTGTCTACTTCAAAGATGATGAAATTTTGGGTTACAATGCAATGTACCCATAGAGAGATGACTGGGTGATTAGGCACCTGGCAAACTGAACAGAACAAGGGTGTAGATTGTTTAGTTTAACCAACAGAAAACACCACACTCTTACCTTCTTAGCAGTCACACTACATGATAGTAGGATCTCTGTATCTACATGTGCATTTTTGTTTTATAGATGGTTAATATTCTGAGCTTACTGGCTACGCCCATGTCTCTATAGTGGCTTGCATGAGATAGCAGAGTGAAAGAAAATGGAAGCAAAGTGAGTTTGATAGTGGATTCACCAGTCCTGTCATAGTTGTTGGGACATTGAATGGTTGGTCGAGTACTTGTGAAAGAGTGTAGCCCTCTACTGGTGGGTGCTTTAGATGGCGCCACATATCCTACTCTATCTTGCATACCTAACCATTAAGTCATCTGTCTATGGTACATATTCAACCCTGGTACTACTATTGGGAGATGAGCTGATGATACAAACTTGCAATTCACCACGCCCTTAAATAAGCTAAGAAAGTGGAAATTGGGTGGAACGTACAGATGATACCCATTGCCCCTTGCATCGTTTAGCTTGTGAATAGTCTATAGCCAACATCTCGTCTCCCAATAGTAGTTCAAGCAGTAAAAGTCACTAGATTTTCAAGTTACTAGAACGAAGTGAATAGATGCTGACCTCTGGCGTGACGAAGTAGCTAGGACTCTTCTCGATGGTGATCTGGCCCCTGAAGGAGTAGGGCATTTTCCGTCGATACCATTCGAGACCTTTCCCATAGTTGTCGTCGCGGTCGAAGAAGTGAACCTCGCCGGCGGCTTTCTGGATCTGCGGATGAAGGAAGAGCATCTCCAGGAGGGCCCTGGTGCCGCACTTGCGCACCCCGATGATGATCGCCTGAGGTAGATGTCGGCTGGTGCGCGGGAAGTGTACCTTGCTGGAGAAGAGCAACGGCGGTGTGGCGCGTACTTGCGATACGAGCTCGACGGTACGACCCTCGACGGCGGAGACCGCGTGCAGGCTGTACACGGCGCTGTCGTAGAGAATGTGGAAGGTCAGAAAGAGGGAGAGGAGGACGACCGTGAGGAAAGCGGCGGCCATCTTCGGTCTGGATATGCCAACCACCAGGATGCAGTCCGAAGTGTCGCCCTCGGCCGGCCTCATAGCAGAGCGGGACATCCACCTGGAAACAAATTTTAACGTACTGTCAGAAAATTAGTTAACCATCAGCAATGATGAGATTTTATTTTTTTTATATTGTGGTGGCTTGATGTATGGAAATAGGTAGTTGGTCGACCACTTGTGAGAAAGCTGTTGATCTCGTAGCCCTCTGGTGGCGAATGTGGAAAGTGCCGATATTATACAAATACAATCGAAACAATAATTTGATTTTATTTTAATAAACAGGAACAAATGTTAAATGCATGTTTGGTTCATTGCCTCAGAATTTGCATAATGGGTATCATTCATTTTGTTAAAGCTAAGAGCAAGTTAGATTTTTGAATTCTGCAAATGGCTTGGAAACTATAGCTATACGTTTTGAGGTTATATGTATAAGAGAACTTCTTCAGAATGTTTGTGAAATCGATGAGATTTCCCTAATTTAATTCAGTTCAATAATTATTGAACTAATTGGGAGATACAAGAGTTCATATGAGAAAATTGTTCATACTATTACTTTCTATTATAGAAGGAAATGAGCAAGATAGCAGGAGGGAAGAAAACTAACTAATTCGATAATCAGTCGAGGATCAGACGAGCGCTTGTGAGAGTGGTACAGGTCCAGCGTCTCCCTCTGGCGGCGAGTACAGGAACCATCACCACGATACAACAAGCGACTTTGATTTAATAATCAAGAAAGAATAAAATAAACTCAATAAAAAATAATAAAGAAACAATATTATTCAATCCTTCCTTTTGTTCTCTTAAATGAAATTATACTTATGGTCCCCAAAGCTTGGTTTCAGCTTCAGGAGGTCGTTCTCTGTAAATCAAACCGTTGCATCCCGGTAATCGTTCCGCGATGGCCGAAGCGGTAGTGCATAAATGTTTCGAGGAACGAGCTCGTTATCATCGGCCCCTCGATCGGGCTCGACGGAGACCGCGAGCATTTACCGGATTACAATATGTCCCCTTTCTGTCGGGCGGCACGCGTGTCGGCGTCACGCAACGTCTGCATTAGCAGCACGCGCCGGCTGTAACTTATACTTTCCACGCCGCAAGAATTATTAAGACCGTCGTTGTTACTGATCATCGCATGCATACTGATAAGACCCGGTTACACGGTCGTTCGCATGTGCTCCGCGAGGCGTGCACCGCCCGCGTATTACGGTTTTCGTCTGGCGAAACGTGCCCGTCGGAGTTTCGTCGGTTCTTGTCCCCGCGAATAAGCATTCCCACGGAAAACGCGACGCCCACGCTCGGTCCATTAAGTATTTACGTTTCAGGAGGATGGAGGGGGGTGTGTATAATTGAAACGCGATAGAATATAACTGGAGTTGAGCTTCGCGAGAAGAGTATTGTTCTCGAGTTGCGTAACTGCGAATTCAATATGGCGTCGCGTCGGTCGAACGAGCGTGAGTCTCGGAGCCACCGATGGTGCATTCAGTCGTTGTAACAGCTTTTTATTGTTATACGATGTAACTCGATATAGGATTATAAACAATCCACTAACAATTAATAGTTTCTTATTTTTCATTCATTTTGTAGTCCATTATCAATATTAGTAATAATACTCATTTTAAGTATACATACTTATTACTAGTAATTACCACAATTACATTTATATAAATGAGAAGCTTAATGTCATACAAATTAATTTTGTTATATTACACACTGAGGGGTGAGTTGTTACAACCTTAATTTATAAAGCAAATATTTAGTAAATGATACAACTCACACATAAAGACCTATAACAAGTTTAATTTAAGCTAATTTTTTCCAGAGTAAATTTCAACTACAAACGTAAAAGTTACATTATTAACAAAACCTGTTCCACTTAATTTTGTGTGTAAAAAATATTCACGGCACATTACCAATCCACAGTAGTTATTTTTATTATATTAGTATTAATTTTTAGTTATTATACGCAATGAGAAGAAAGTAGTTCTCGTACAGAATATTATCCCGAATGAATTTCTGTTGCTAATTAACCGTTCTCCTACCCTACGCGGAGTAAGATTTTTAACGAATTTATTCGGTGGAATTACTTTTTTAATCGCAGTTTATTAAAATATTTTCCTGGTGAATGTTAAGGTATTGGAATCGCGACAAATTAAGTCCTTTCACGACCACGATTGGAATTAGAATTTTCCTCGATGGAGTTTTCATCGAAAGATTACCGCTGAACGCGTTTCTGTGAGATTACTGTAGAATTACAACTTCTAATAAATTGTCGGGACCGTCGTAGAATCGTTGTTAATAGAAACAGAATATTCAGAAAAGTCATTTAAATTCGAGCAAAAGATACTATGGAAACGTGCTGCTCTCAGTATTGTTTGTATTTGCATTCATACGCTTTGTATGCACCTTTGGTAGACGCGATAGAACTCGAAAGGAATATATTTTAAGAGAAGAGGCGTTTGAAATTCTTTCTTGCTTAAACCGTGAATAATCCAAACCCAGATGTAAAAAGAGTGAGATTCTAAACAATGGAAGTACATGACACTTGCAAAAAATGGCAAAAATGAACTTTCATCATTTTACAGCTTTTGTTACATTCAAATCCCCATAGTGGTTCTTGCATTTTAAGCGAGGAAAGGATTTCAAACGCCTCTTCTGAAAAAGAGCATATAGAGCTGTTTTGCCTGAGGCCAAGCGCGAAGTGTTTTGGGATTACAGAACGGTTAATTAGCAATAGAAATTTTTCAGGAAGTTTCCAGCATACAAGCTCAGAGTTGCTTTCACGATAAGCTTATCATTATTAAGATTGCAAAACCGCGAAACGAGCTTGTCTTACTATATTTTTTATTATCAGTTTATGAATTTTTGGATCTCCGATTTCAGTGATAGCTATTTCTTTGTTCTTGTTGGATTGTTTACATATTTATGAAGAAGCTCCCCCGTTACATTATTCATGCTACGGTGCAAAAAACTGTAAATTCATAATTCACCGGCAATTAACAATTTAAATAGATCGTGTATAATTAATCTGGAACTTAAAGGATAAAAATGTGGATGGAAAAACGATATTCTACGTTTCGACGTGTAAATTATACGAAAATAGTGAAGAAAATTCTATTTTAGAGATACAGTGAAGTCGAGATAACTCGAATCTTAGTAGCAATATTAAAAATGAATTAAATTTTACTTAAATTGGAGATTTTGAGAATAATCAGCAACAAGAAACGATTATAAATAATTGTAACTTACTGTAAAAATAATTCTCAAACTCACTGAACGACGTCAACAGTCACAAACTTAGTTTTTCTTTGTTTATCTAAGCACTGTTTATGATACTATCGGTTGTCTTGGTAAGAATAGACAAAAATAAACGTCGAAACGCGAATGAACGAAAGATTTAGGTACAATTTCTTTCGAGAAATCTTTCCAGTGATTAACGAAGCGACGGAATTAATAGTGGCGCGCGTTTGCACAAATTGCATCTCGAACACGCTGGTGTTTTATCGATACTGGTGAAAACAATAAATCAAGGAAGTAAGCCCGCATGCACTCTCGCGGAACGAGGGGATCTTTCCGAAGGAAGAAACTGTACACCAGATAAGAGTAATCACGTCGGAAACGCTGACATCAGCCGCGCGATATAAGTATCTGTTAAGTAAGATTAATTAATCATTTTCAGCCGTGAAAACTAAATGAAAAAGCATTTCCTATCCATTAGAACATCATCCAAAAAATCTGATACACGTCACGCTCGCGTGATATCGTGTTCATCGTGTAATTTTTATATTGTACCGTAGATATTTCTATTTTTCTTTTCGTTTTCGTACTTTGATCGAACTGACACGATATCGTGTTCTTTGTATAATTTTTATATCGTGCAGACATTTTTATTCATGTTTTTTCTTTGCTATTTAATCAAATTAATATGTTATGCTCTTTCTGGGATCTTTATATAAAATCTATTTTACTTTGATAAGAGAATTTTGGAACAAATAATATATATTTCTTTATTTTAATCAAACTAATAAACTAATCAAACTAATTCTTCGAAAAATTTTGTTTTGATGAGATCATTTTATTTTCCATTTAGTTTCGAATAGTAAACTCAATAGTAAACAGTTTAATTTTGTGTTTGTTTTTAATTTTTAATGTTATATTACTCGATATCTCTTTTTTAATCAAATTAATATAATATGCTCTTTCTGTGATCTTTATATAAAATCTATTTTATTTTGATAAGAGAATTTTAAATCAAGTAATATATCTTCCTTTTATTTTAATAAAATATATTCTTTGTAGAATTTTGTTTCGATGAGATCATTTTTATATCGTACGACAGAAATTTTTATTCATTTTTTTCTTTGCTATTTAATCAAATTAATATGATAATTCTCTTTCTATGATTTTTATATTAAATCTATTTTATTTTAGTAAGAGAATTTTGGAACAAGTATTATATATCTTTCTTTTATTTTAATCAAATATATTTTTTGAAAAGTTTTATTTCGATGAGATCATTTTATATTCCATTTAGTTTCAAATAGTAAACTTAATAGTAAATAGTTTAATTTTGAGTTTGTTTTTAGTTTTTAAAATTATATTACTCGATATCTCTTTTTTAATCAAATTAATATAATATGTTCTTTGTAAATTCTTAGATATTTTTATTTTCATGTTAAATCTATTTTATTGTGGTAAGAACATTATACCAATATTCTATAATTTAAAATGAGATGAAAATCAAGAACAAAGAGATTTCTCGAGAAAATTGAACGTCACGAGAGCTTTCGAGTGTGAAATAAATATAAACGAAATATTGTTTATCACGTTTTATAAGAAAATTTTGACCAGTTTTCAAACAAGGACAATAAAGTTGGAATCCTTTTGCGGGGTACGCGTTCGATCGACGTTCAAAGTGACTTTTCGAGAACCGAAGCTTTGAAGGAATAACATTTCCTCTCTCATTTCGATTCATTTTGACACCTGAAATAATCCTATTTCCGATTGTTCTGACAGCTTACAAGGAAAGTTTCGAATCCCGCGATACGTTGAAATTCAATG